TGAGAGAAGAAAACGATACAAAAGCTACCTCCATTGGTTAACAGGCTGAACTGAGTGGTACACAGAGCCCTCTGTGGCTGTGTCCACGCTACACACCACTGCAGCAGCGAGTAGCACATGTGTAGCTATACCCTGCACCCAAGCTGGAGACTTCCGCCATAGCAAGGGAAAGATTAAGCAGCACGGAGCTGATGGAGCCTTTCCCTGCTGTAGGGAAGGGCTCCAGCAATAGAGAGCTGGCAGAGCTTTTCCCAATTGCTGGAGTCATTCCCTGAGATAGGGAGAGGCTCCGCAGTGGGGACCTGCTCCCAAGCCTTTCCTCTCTGTCACTCCCTTGCAAGTGCCTTTGCTCACTTGGGGAGTCTTCATGAGACAGGGACATGGAAGGCAGAAGGACGCTGTTAAAAATAGCAGAGAGGCACAGCTTGGGGGAGTGCATACCCATACCCTTCAGGCATGTCTTAACTTGCTTGTATGATGTCTCACCGGTTATGCTAGGGGCTTATCCTCTATATGCCACTGAAAGGAGCGTTAAGAGTACATATACCTATGGTTAAAACGATTGGTGTCTGGTAATTTTATACCAATGTCTTGATGTTGCTGTGTTTGGCACTAAATAAACAGACAGAACACACAGTTATAAAGCAGGAGACCCAGAATTTGACTCCCTTAAAGGCACTGGGAGTTTTGGAGCTATGCTCAGTTCCTGGGAAGAAGCTTAGCTTTGTTTTGCTCTGCAGCAACACCACCCCTAGACAGACCAGAACAGTGTGAACTAATCCCCAGAGGGCACCTGGATTTCATCACTGCATCACACCTTGCATTTCCTGGCAAAGTTCCCCAAGGGCTATGGAAATCATCTCTCTGAAAGAGCAGCAGTATTAGCAAGGTGTGGGCAGAAATGGAACTGGTGAGGGGCAAACATGCAGTTTGTAAAAGAGTACTAATACACAGCTCTTAAAGCTGACATCTACCAAATGAAGTTAAAAAAAATCAGAGGTGAAGGTAATCTTTATTTTAGGTGCAATTTGGTCTCTTCAATTATTTTACCCTTAACTGAATAATCAAGATGTTACTTGGCTCTGAAAACCAGGGGGGAATAAAATGTCACCACCAACAGCTGCCAAATTTCCTGCTACCAGCCCTTCAAATGAAAGGAAAAACCTATACAGATGCAAAATTTAATTTAGTCAGTAAAAGCCCAAATCCTTGCCCAAAGCCCTGCTCTTCCTGTAATATTGCATTCTTTTCTTCTTGTGTAAACTTCTAATTATGAAGGAGACATCTTCATAATATAATAATTCTGGTTATAATGTAACTGCTGGTAACATAACTCCTACATTAGAAAAGGCAGCATGCTCTAGTAATGTTGTTTTAATATAATTTGTGTACTGCAGGAACTGACTGAACCTGATCATTTAGAATTTGATCAATGTGAATTAGTGTCTTAGAGAGATAAACCATTTGATGATTTAGAATTTGATCAATGTGAATCCGGGCCTTAAAGAGATAAAACATTTATCATGCACATTTGGAATATCACACTAATTCATGCAGCACTGAAGTAGATAATACACAGGCATCAATAAAAAGTGCAGACAAAGTACAGATGAGCTGTCAGTTCTCTGATAGAAGTCTATATAGGGTATTTAGTCTTCTCCCTTTAGTGGGTGAATTACCCATAAAGCCCACTGAAGCCACAAATGACAATTTCAAGGACTAAAGGGAGGAAGGAAAGGAAAATGCAAGAAAGATAGGTAGAGAGTTATTTAAAGCTCCTGAAATACATTTTAGTTTAAAAGTAGAAGCAGAATTCTAAGCTATCTGGATGAAACTTCCTAAAATTCAAGACATGTTTAAAATGATTAGTGGAGCAGCTTTGTAACAATACCACAATTAGTGCTATTAATCTCACACTTTCAACTTGAAATCACACTGACATGCAGCACATTGGTTTACACATTTAACAGAATTATAAATTTAGCAGTTCAACCTTATTTAATTCTTCTTTTACAGCCAATTAAACAGGCTCTTTAAACATTATTGCTTGAAACCCTGTCCTCCATCCTCACATTCAATTAAATTGACAGAAGCAGCGGTGGGTGATACCAAAAGAGCATCATCTTTAGGTTTCACTAAACCATTCATGATTTATGTATCAAACCCCACACCAAAGACAGTGTTAGAATAACATCCCTTTAGCTTAACTCCTCAAGAGCATGGAAATTCCACAGCTTTAAAAAGAGGCTTCTTTGTGAAGGAAAACGTGAAATGTGTGTGGACAGCGCTATATTGGCGCGACTCCTGCTGACAGAGCTACCACCGCTCGCAGGGGTCTCAAGTAGTTAAATCAACAAGAGAGCTTTCCCATTGGCTTAGAGTGTCTAAATTAGCAATGTTGCAGCTACTCCACCATAAGTTCTGTAGTATAGCCACAGCCTTACATAAAAGGGGATTGCGATACAAACCCTCTTTTTCATTTTACAAAAACAAAAACATAATTACATTTGACTATCTGTATTTATTATTAGCTTGGACTTCAAGGGGACTACTCTTAAATTAAGGATATAATTCTTGTCAGGAAACAGTCACCTTGCCCTCCTCACCTCAGATCTTGTGTTCTCCACATCTCTGGTAAAGAGCCCTAATCACTAGGCTATTGGCTATTCTGGGCCAAATCATTCTCTCTAGTGTTTTTGCTAAAATTTTCTAGAGGTCTGGGTGTCATCTCAACGGGGAATAGGAAATATTTTAATTTTGTATGTTAAGAAAGCCATTTCTCACCCAAGTCTGTTTTTAAGATCTGTTGTCAAAGTGTACTGGAGCACAACTACCACAGATGACTAATTTAGTCTAGTTTTCCAAAGTGTATTTGGGAATTTGGTCACCAGTGCATGACTATAAACAGGCAACAAATGACTTCAAAGTGTTTGTAGCATAAGGGACCAAGGTGGGTGAGACAATATCTTGTACTGGTCCAACTTACTTCACCCACCTTGATTCCCTCATATCCTGAACCAATATAGCTACAACTCTGCAAATGACAACATGAGAGAGTCTGAGGATATGGCTAAACTTCAGGTAGACACCCAGAGCTGGCCCATGTTAGCTGCCTAGGGCGAATGGCGCTTGGGCTAAGGGGCTATTTAAGTGTGATGCAGACATTCAGATTCAGGTTCCAGCCCAGACCCAGACATCTACATGACACTTTAACAACCCCTTTGAAGGAATCAGCTGGACAGGTCAGCTGCAGGATTTAACTGCACTGTAGAACATACTCCAATGATCTCCTTGACAGCAGACTAATCCACAAATCCTACATAGAACACCATTTAGTCTATTAGGCTTCGTTACTTGCACATACAGATCAAACTTCCCTGAAATTATTTTCCTTCATGGGTCATTAATAGAAAATCCGGAGAAGGAAGTCTCAACATGTCTGAGGACTTGCCAATCTCAGTCCCCATATCTCCTTGGCACAACTATTTTTCTGGCTAAATGAGAAATGTTTCTTAAACTTTGCAGATGATTTTAAGTACCTAAAACCCTGCTGTTTAGGGGCCAGGACTGTAAAGACCTGGAAAAGTCAGGCAGTATTTGATTTGATTTTGGAAAGCTGTGGGTGCTGGAATTCTTCCCATTCTGCAAATGAAGTACCTATACATAAGTCACAATAGCTGCGACCACCTACCAACTATTCCCTTATTGTATATCTAATAACATGGATCAGTCTTCGTGTCGCCCTCCCACTATGTACATTGCATAGGCTGCAGAAGCCAGATATCCAATCAGCAGACCAAATTGTGTGTTGAATCCTGGTCATGTGACACCTGAGACACATTGGGCACATACTAAGATAATTTTTAATTAAAGAAAGGAGGGTGGGATGTTAATTACATGTTTTAAATTCAACAAAGCTAATAAAAATGAATCAGCCCCCTGGCTGGAAAGGGAGGGAGGGAACAACTGAATGAACAATAGCAATCAAACCATCTTCTCATTCCTAACTGAAGTCTCTCCAGATGGGGGCAGAAATCAAAAATCATTCTGTGGTTCAACTGCTACTTCTTTAATGGTCAGAAATCTTCAGTCCATAAAGCTGCAAGCCTGGTGCCTTTAACCATCACTAAATTATCATAACATTAAACTAAAACAGATTGCAAAACAATATGTAAAGGAATATACAATGAAACAGCAAACAGCTCCAACCACTGAAATGTGTAGTGGTCATTTTACATTAAAGGATTTATGAACTTTAGCATTTTATTAATCTACTATAAACAGACGTGGTCAAGTGGCAAGGTATCAGACTGCTACATGGGCTTCCAGAACTCCATCCAAAATATGGCCACAATTCAATATTTTTTTACTACAGCATCTATTGGTAGATGGGTGAGAAGCAATGAGTTGTAAAAGGTTATTTTCATACTCTCACAAAAATGATGAATGGCAGTTTCTACTTAATGGAAGAATTGGCAGAAACTGAAAGTCCAAAGCTAAGGGTCAGAGTCTCTTTGGTCCATCAATTACTGCATCTTCATTTAACCATTTTCAGGTCTAATAATAATTCAACCTGACCTTCACTATTAAAGGCAAAGCTGAACCACTGATTTAAATACCTTTTGTGTTGAACAAGAATGGGATGGATAGTACTGAAATGCAAGGTTGGCACCCAAATTCTCCTATTACATTAATGAAGATGCATGTTTAAGCAGTACAGTTTTTCAAATAATTTCTTACATAAAATCAGGCGTGTAAATAAATTAATACATTACTAACTGTGCTGTCAATTTCTACACAATCATAGTACATAATACAACACTGGATGACTACCAGCTTTCATAAACATTCTTTCATTTCAACAACCAGTCTTGCAAAAATATATTTCACTTGCCACCGTCCAAACACAGACAGCTAGGTAGAAAAAAATGTGCCTATTTTATAATATGAACATAGCTTTACTCAAAAATAAAGGGGGGGGGGGAGAAAAGAAGTCTTACTTGAACCTAGCTTCCACTTCCTTGACAGCTTTTTGGAATTGCTCCGTGGTTACTTTGTAGAATTGGGCACTCTGAAAAGAGGGAAGAAAAGTGAAACTTAATGACCTAATCAATATTTATACAGTGGTGAAAACACACCTGGCTCTGTACAGAATGTATAAAGAATCCAGGCCCCTGCACTGAATATCTTACACTATAATTCAGACAAATAGAAGGTGGGCTAATCGTTAAAGTACAAGATGAAACAGAAGCATGATCAGTGAGTAGTTCATTGCAAAGCTAAAATGGAAAATAATATAGAGAACTTTTTTCCATTCTGACTTAGGATAGGTTGAAATCTCAAAAATGTTCACAAACCAAAAATCCTCCCAAAACTGGTTTGGGTAAAAATGCTTCATTTCAGTTTTCACTTTATTATAGCTTAAATGTCTAACAGAAACCCGTTTCAAGTTTTCACTTAGAAAATGCTGAAAACCCCCACACTGACAATTTAGAAACTTCCAGTTTTTTTGCATTAAAATTTTAGTAGAAATTGACTCCTCAAAGTTTCACTTTCAACAAATTTGCATTTTCTGATGAAAAAGCTTTTAGTAAAAAAATTCTGAACCAGTGCTAGTTCTTTGTATAATAAGACTACATGAAAAATCAGTTTTAAGGAAGAACTGGAAAGAGAAGGAAGGCTGGAATACAATTCAGGAGGCTGTTGCCATTAATGGAGGGGAGAGTTCACAGTTTTTACATGGTTGGATAGGAAATCACATTTGTGAACACTCAGACATATATATCTCACATACGTTATGTGGAGGCGATATCCATGTCATAAATTGCAAAGTTCCAATATACATTAACCACTCATTCTCTGACTGTCCAATTGGCTTGTTGATCACAAGCTCATCTCTTTCTAACTTCCTGTAATATTCCAAAAACTCCCAACAGCTGCTATTTTATCTTTTTAACATCAAGTTTCTTTGTTAGATAGGTAGAAGGAAAAAAAGAGCTTAGTGTAGCTTCAAAGTTTGTCCCTTTCACCAACAGAAGTTGATCCAATAAAATATTACCTTACCCACTTTATTTCTCTAATACCTAAGATCCAGGATGCTACAAACACCACATGGTAAGAGACCATTCAAAGCAAAGTGGACCACCAACAACTCTGCAGTCGTAAGATAAAGGAAGGGGGATTAGTGGATGACAGATTGTTGTGAAAAGCCATATATATCCAGCATCTTTTTTAAGACCATGATTTTAAGTGTTCAGCAAAGTTATGAATTTAAGCTTCTTGGCTTGTCTTGGATTGACCAACTCTCCATCCCTCCTTTACTGCAAATCAGTTAGGATCTGAAGTAAAGGGGAAGGAGCATGGATAACGGAACATAGATAGGCACCACACACCCTTTTTCTCTGAGTGATATTCCCTATTGTATTTGGGTGACTGACATGCAGTATGTAGGAGAAGAGTGCAAGTTCACAGATGACAGAACTGAACAGACAACTGCCATCACAAAGGAAGCATCAACAGAGAACTGGGGTACCACTGAGCCCGCCTATCTGACCCATCAGCCGGTGTTCCGGTTTACACTGTACTGCTGTGCAGGGTCCAGACTGCACTTCACCAGAATACATACAGGTCACTGTTGGCGTCAGGCTTGTCCTGAACCACAAATTGGAGACTTTTTCTAGCAGTGTCTAGTTGGCCCACACATGCACAACAGCAGCATGTTCCATTCACACTTTTGGAATTTGCTCGTGCGGCCCAACTCCCCTCAGTTTCTTCATGAACACCCTTTTACATGAACTTTCTAGCCAAAGAAGGAAGGAGGGTGGATAGTGTAGCACCCACGGAGACATGCAACTCGAAGAAGCGTCATTATTGCGCGAGGTGAGTAACCTCCCTTTCTTCTTCGAGTGATGTCCCCGGGGGTGGCTCCACTGTTGGTGACTACCTAGTGGTATCCCGAAGATGGAAGGTGGGTTTCAACTAGGTTTTACATGTGGATGAAAGGACTGCGTTGGCTATCGGAGAGTTCGTGTCCTCTCGTGTAGAGATTGCATAGTGCTTCATTAAAGTCTGATTAGAGGACCAGGTAGCAGCGCAGCATATGTCCATGAGAAGAATCCCTTTCAGGAAGGCTGCTGATCCTGCCACCACTCGAGTCGAGTGCGCCTTAGGAGGCATAGGGAGAGGTGAGCCTTGGAGGGAGTAACATTGGAGGATACAGGCTGTCACCAGTTTTGAGACCGGCTGCAACAAGAGTGGCATTCCCCTGGAATGCACTGCCAATGAAACAAATAGGATCTGTGATTTCCAGAAGGGTCATGCTTAGTCAGAATAATGCCCTACGGACATCCATAGTGTGCAGGATAACCTCTTTGAGAGGTGTGAGGCCATTTCCTTCACACAAGGCCGTAAATCATCTACACATATAGAAATAAACAACAAATGGTCTGGTAGCACTTTATAGAGTAACAAAACATGTAGAAAGTGCTACCAGACCATTTGTTGTCTTTTTCTGTAATAGACTAACTCGGCGACCCCCTGAAGCTCCACTTATAGAGGTAAGTATCGCGAGTGGACTGATATCTACTGTGGAGTAGGACATTCTTACTTGTTGTGAACACCTCTGCTCCACCTCTGAGAACCAGCAAGGAGCCAGGCCATCAGATGCAGCATCTGCAGTTGCAGGTGGTGTAGGATTCCCCTGGTCTGTGAAAGGAGATCTGGGTGGGTCGGAAGTGCATAGGAAGGTCAGAGAGACATCTGATAAAGACAGGGAAACCACTTCTGTCTGGCCCACATAGGGGCTACGAGGATCACTAGAGTATTGTCTGACTCTCTCTTGGCAAGGACTTTGGGGATGAGTGGGATAGGAGAAAAAGCATAGAGGAAGGGAGTATCACATGGTATGAGAAAAGCATCTCCTAATGATCTGGGTCCTATGCCCACACTGGAGCAATAGTGAGGGCACTTGGTATTGTGGCTTGTTGCAAAGAGGTCTATTAGTGGCCAATCCCATAGGTGGAAAATGTTGTGCAGGACACTGGTATGGATTTCCCACTCGTGCTCTATTGTAAACTTGCAGCTGAGGGTATCCTCAATAATGTTCTTGACTCCAGGTACGTAAGTTGCAGTGATGGTGATTTTGTTTCGGATACACCAATTCCACAGGCATACAGGCTCTACATACAGAGAACGGAAACGCACACCTATTTGTCAACTGATGTAAAACACTGTTGTGACATTGTCCATAAGGATGAGCACTGTGGAACCCTGGATGTATTGATGGAAGTGTTTGCAAGCACTGTGATTGGCTTGGAGCTTCAGGAGGTTGATGTGGAGCTTAGACTTGTGGGCCAACCATGTGCCTTGAATGAAATGATGCTGGACATGGGCGTCCCAGCCTAGGAGGGATGCATCCGTGGTAATGTGGCTGGATGGTTGTGCCTGACAAAGTGGCCCACTAGCAAGGAGATTCCCTGGATTGGTCCACCATCGTAACAAGAGGACAGTAGGGGGATAGAGACACGTCTGTACTCCTGGTGTTTGGATGGCATGTACTCCAAGACAAGCCAATGCTGGAGGCACCGGAAACGTAGATGCACATGTCAGACTATGTAAGTTGTAGAGGCCATGTGTTCCATGAGTCGAAGGCAGGTGAGTATAGGGATCATGGGGCTCAATACCATGGTTGAAACCAAACCTTTTATTGCTTCAAATTGTTGATCTGGCAGATGTGTCCATGCTGTGGTAGATCTGAGACACGTGCCTGTGAACTCTAGGGATTGGGTTGGGCAGAGGGTAGACTTCTGCTCTTTGATGAGGAGGCTGAGAGATTCGAAGAAGGTCTTTGTGAAGGGGATCATATCTCTTGTGACCTGCTGTGAATGGCCATGAATGAGGCAATCGTCTAGGTACAGCATGCATAACCTGAGCTCCCTGTCCTTACGGTCTCTGGCTGTAAGGCTACAGCAAAGGATGCACTTCTGAGGAACATGTGCTGCTCCTAGACAATGAATACGGGATCCATGGCCATCTGAAGCGGGCATAGGGTCGAAGCACTTATCACATTTTTAAACCTGGGGGAGCCCAGCATTTTGCTATTCCTCAGCTCTTGTCTCCCCCCATGGTTGTGTGGTAGGTTTTTTTTGGTTTTTGTTATTTTTTTTTTTTTGCAGTTATGGGACCGGTGGTTCTTATTCCATATAAGCTGTGTATCATCTCTATTTAGGTTCGCTCTCTTCTTCTACTTCCTCTTATTTAATTTTTTTTTTTAAGCAGAGGCGTGAGGGCCATGGCCCTCAAGGTTAGCAGCACACTGCTGCTCTGAGGCGCTGTCTTAACTATTTACAATGATTATGACAAAAAAAGTTTTTTTAAACTAAAATTAACAATAAAATTATGAAAAACTAAGCTGTTTTGATTAATTACAACTGAATTCCTATCTACAGAGAACTGAAGAGAACAAGAGGGATGGAGCTCCATCTGCGACTGAGGGCAGTCAAGAAGGAACTGAGGGGAATCAGGCCGTGTGCGCGAATGCCAAAGGCACGAACAGCATGCTATCTCGCATACGTGTCCCGACTAGACATTGCTAGAAAAAGTCTTCAATTTGCGACGTGGGACAAACCCGACACCAAGGGTGAGTCTAGACTGGCAAGATTTTGCACAAAAGCAGCTGCTTTTGCGCAAAAACTTGCCAGCTGTCTACACTGGCCACTTGAATTTGCACAAGAGCACTGACTTTGTAATGTACAAAATCAGTGCTTCTTGCGCAAATACTTTCACACTCCCGCTCGGAAAAAAGCCCTCTTGAGCAAGAATACTTGCGCAAGAGGGCCAGTGTAGACAGGGAAGAACTGTTTTGCGTAAAAAATCCTCAATGGCTAAAATGGCGATCGGGGTTTTCTTGCGCAAAATCATGTCTAGACTGGCCATGGATGCTTTTGCGCAAAAGCATCCGTGCCAATCTAGACACGCTTTTGCGGAAATACTTTTAACAGAAAAACTTTTCCATTAAAAGTATTTCCGCAAAATCATGCCAGTCTAGACACAGCCCAAGAGTGGAGCATCCAC